ATGAAATTTATGAACAAATTTGCTGGTGTTGGGGGGGGATGTGAAGGGTAGGGTGTCCAGGGGGGATGGTGGTTGTCAGGGCTTGTGATGCAGAAGGAGATAGAAAGGGAAAAAAAGGCATTTTTTTTAATTCTTTTTACTTTTCTTTTCTTCTCTAATACTCTAAAGCAAACGCGGGTCTTGCGTGACGCTCCCAGCGGGCCCAGCGAAATTGGGCCCAGGCTGTTTCGTTCGTGTCAGTTTCCTTTTTTTTTGGCGCTTTCGTTCGTGACGGTTTCCTTTTTTTCGTCCGTGTCGGTTTCCTTTTTTTTGGCGCTTTCGTTCGTGTCGGTTTCCTTTTTTTTTGGCGCGAAGTTTCTCAGCCGTCGAAGCTGGGTCCAACCTGGGAGTGGCCGGCATGAAGCTTCAGGGTTACGGCTGACTGGCACCATTCGATGTGTGAATCGAAACGGACCAGGGGCGCTTGGATCCATTGTGGGTAGGCGAGCGCGACGAGCCGCAAGCCCGGTGGAGAGAAGGGCGGCACAAAGGGGACGCGAGGGCGTGGCGGAAAGGAGGGGCAAGGGGACTGGATAGCACATCGGAGGGTAGGAAGGGAACCGGCGGGAGAGTGGCATTTGCGGGGAGAGGCGAGAGAGGGCATAGGCAGGAGAAGGGAGGATGGAGCAAGGAGGGAGAGGGAGGATGGGGTGAAGAGGACGAGGAAGGAGGGCGGAGGATGGATGGAGGAGGACGTGGGGAGAGGACGTGGGGGGAGGACAGGGCGATCAAGGAGGAGGGAGGATCGAGGGAGGACGAGGAAGGAGGAGCAGCGGGAAGGGACGAAGGCGATGGTGATGGAGGGAGGAGGAGTGAGCAAAAAGGTAAGAAGGCTCAGGGTTCTTTTCGACTTTTTCTTTTTTTCCAGTCATGATTGATTGATTGGTTGATTTTTGCTACACGTCATTACACTTCAAATGCACTCTCTCTCGCAACTCGTCTCCTTCAATCTCTTTTTGCGAGTGAAAGGAAAAGCTTACATGGAAGGGCGAAAAAGGGAGGATGGCGCGGAAGAGGGGGCGAGCAGACGAGGTGGAAGTGTGGAAAGGGGGAGAGGATGACATGAAAGGTGAGTGGGGACGACGACGACAGTAACCATGGCAAGCACGAAAACGGCGACCGTGATGAGGATGGCCATAGAGGAAAACTATGACAGACGAGGAATTGTTGAGGTGATGGACAACAAGGGGGGATGTTACATGCAGCGCGTGCACACACGGGCCATTTTGCAGGCCCGACAGCGTTCAGGCCAAAAGCCTGAACTTCAGGTCGAAAGCCTGAATTTCAGGCTGAAAGCCTGAAATCCAAGGCTTACAGGCCCCCTGTCGGTTCAGGCCAAAAGCCTGAAGTCCAGGGCCTATCCTTGGTCATTTCAAAAATGGCAACAGCTTTTTTAGCCTGAAAGGAAGGGCCATTTTCGGTCGTTCATCAGAACGACCGGCCAGGCACCGAACCAGGGTTTCGGAAACAGAATATTATTAGTCTGTTTCCCACGCCAGCCTCAAGCAGGCTGCTGCACGCCAGCCCCTGGCACATTTCGGCATTGGCAAGAGCTGCCTCCTCGGCCTGACTGCCCTCCAGTAGTCAGGAGGCAGGMSGAGGTAGTACATAGGACTTCCCAGGGACTTCCGAGGTAGGCAGTTGGTAGTTGTAGTCTTCAGGATTCGGGTGCAGCACTCTGGAGGGAGCGCTGCGTTGTAGTAGYGGTAGCGYTAGCTAGTASTCTTCAGCRYTGGGCGCAGTAGGTAGCTGTAGTCTCCAGCGCTGGGCGCCATAGCTAGGTAGTACTAGAGAGAGAGAGAGAGAGCTTGGGCGGAGGCCAGAGGTACCTACCTGCAGCGCCGTTGCTCGAGCTTCGTCTTCGAGGTACCTGCAGCACAGCGCCAACATCACAGGTTAGTACCTGGTTCGTAACAAAGAGAGAGAGAGAGAGAGTTCTTCTTCTTCTTCTTCTCAGTCCACCATCTCTTCTCTCCCTCTCACTTCTGACTTCACTGCATCGGCAGACTATGAGAGAAGCGATACAGAGCTTGGTGACATTTGATCCAGACTCGACTTTCGAGGGTTCAGACATGGCAACGAGGGACTATTTGGGATTGGTGACCAAGACTTGGTGTTAACGACATTCCCATCTTCTTCCCTCCTTTCGTTTGTCCCTTATCTCTTCGTCTGTGTATGTCTGGACCTGGCGTTTTCTTCCTGTGTGCAGCGCCAGGCTCCCTCACACTTCGTGATGGGTACAATGCAAGTTTAGTCAGAGTTCAAACATTGATTGGGCTAGTTAGAGGTACTCTAGCATTCTGCTTCGTTACTCTGAACTACGTGAATGAGGTCAATCCTGTCAGGTCAGTCTTGTATCAAAGTCTTCCYTGCGCTCTTCAGCATCTTTATGTATGAATGAGAATGTACATTGCTTGTCGAGATTCTACTCGTACCGCATTGTCAATTCAGTCCTTTTCATCACATTGCAGATTCTCGCTTTATTATGTACATTGCATATCCGTGCATGTAACAGTTGGTATCGGAGCTTTTGCACGTGAATCAGGACTATCTGATCTGACACGTGTACGTGGATAAAAAAAAAAAACTAGTTAGTCTTTTCTGTTGATTAGGACATACTAGTTAGACCCCAAAATCACGATCTTGACCTTACTACAAAAAAAAAAATCGAAWTTTTTTCTTTTCTCGGATTTTATTTTCTCGCTATTCTGCTGCGGAAAATCGCTATATCGCAACATCTTAAATTCCTATTTTCGTTTTTCTTTCTGAAAATTCGAAATTTCGTTGTTAAAAATCCGGAATATATTTCTTTTTGAAAATTTTGATTTTCTGTTGCATTTTCCCGTACTTAGAACTTCGGAATATCTTCTTTTCTAAAATTCGTTTTTTTCTTAAAACGGTACGGGAAATACCTCCTGCACGTATTATTTTTTTTCAAACTGCGAATATTCCCATCGGAATAAATCCAAATATTTGTCATTTCTATTCGGACTTTTTTTCGCAGTTCTTGGATTCTGCCAGTTGGTTCTATAAATCAGTTGCAGTCCAAAGTCGATTTTTTTTTCGCTTTTAGAGATCATTTCGTACTTCAAGGGAGATTGGGAGACCTACCAAACTTGCGAAAATCGGGATTTTTATTTTTTAGTTTCTCGAAGAAAAAAAATTGCAAAGCTCAAACTTTTCTGGCTTGATTAGGGGCTCCTTATCTAAGTGTGAGTTGGACGATTATCCCACCCACCCCTCCCCACCTACGTTGTTGCCATCTCTCGCCTTGCCGTTTCTGGTTGTCTTCGGGTACCCCTTGTGACGGCATTGGTAAGTTGCCATGTCAGCAGGCCACGTCAGCAGACCACGTCAGCAGGCTACGTAAGTACGTCAGCAGACCACGTCAACAAACCACGTCGGCAGGCCACGTCAGCAGGCCAGGTCAGCAGGACACGTCAGCATTGCCACGTTAGCAGCAAGGGATACCACATCAACAGGCACCGGTCTGGTCTATGCTGTTGCGTTCACAGACAGCAGTCATGGACCAGAAGACCGGGGAAACAGACGAGGCCTATCAGGCCCGCATGTTAGCCTGGAGTACCGAGACAAAGAAGCGGGCAGATGACGCTGCCGCAGAAGCCAAGAAAAGGGCAGAGGATGCCGAACAGGCACGTCTGCTGGCCATGCAACAACAGCGCCAGCACGACGAGGCAGCAGCAAGGGCTACTGATGAAAAAAAAATACAGCGTCGTGAGAAGATATTCACCGGAGAGCGGGCGTTACTTACCATGGCAGCAAAATGGCGAAGCGAGGCCGAGAACAGCTAGTTGGAGGACAGCGCAAACAAGATAGCGCTCCTCTCGCATCTCACAGATCTCCTGGCAACCTGCATTACACAGCAGGCGGAGATCCTTGGTCTTGACAACTCGGTAGCTAACCTCCAAGACCGCCTTCAGCTGGTGGAGCAGCGACCAGTCGCCGTCCCCGACGCAGGCTCTTCCAATACTGCCGACCGCCTCACCGCATTGGAGATGCACGTTGGCTCCCTCCAGGACGGCGCACAGTTACAGCAGACCGCGACGCAACAATTGCAGCAGCGGATCTGCACTACCGCCACCACCTCGAGTCCGGAGCCGCGCGAGACA